CAAATTGTTTCTCATAAATTCCTGCCTCTGTGTTATGAATTTATGAGAAAACCTGCAGTTGTGGGCAGAACTACAGGGTTATTAGAAATACTCAGGCCTACTAATAAGGTATCAATAAAGGTAAAAAGCGAAAAAAATCAATACCCAAAGAATCAACAAAAAAATTCCTGGAACTAATGAGTGATTATAGTAAGGATACAGGATACAAGGTTAATATACAAAAGTCAATTGCATTCTTATGCACCAGTAATGAACAATTGGAATTTGAAATTAAAAACACAATATCATTTATATTAGTACCCCTCAAAAACGAAATACTTAGGTCTAAACCTCATAAAATATGTACAAGATCTACAAAGGTACTTCAAAAAAAAGTTCATAGAAAGATTTATATTGCCTTTTAATTCTATTTTTCCATAAACTTTTTGAAGTACCCTCATATGTGAAGAAAAATGAAAAACTCTGATGAAAGAAATAAAACATCCAAATAAATGGAGAGATATTCCATGTATAAGGATAAGAACACTCAATATTATTAAGTTGTCAGCTCTTCCCCACTTGATCTGCAGATTCAATGCAATCTCAATCAATATCTCAGCAAATTATTTTGTGAAGAGTGATAAACTGATTCTAAAGGTTATATGGAAATGCAAAAGACCCAGAATAGACAACACAATATTGAAGAAGAATTAAGTTTAAAGGCTGAAACTACCCAACTTCAAGACTTATTATAAAGCTACAGTAATCAAGACAGTGTGTTGTTGGTGAAATAGACAAACAGATCAACAGAAGAGAATAGAGAACCTAGAAAAAGACCCACACAAATATGGTCTACTGGTCTTTGACATAGTAGCAAAGGTAACACAATGGAGAAAAGACAGTCTTTTCAACAAATGGTGCTGAAACAACCAGATATCCACATGCAAAAAAAAATGAATCTAGACACAAACCTTACATCCTTCACAAAAATTAACTCATTGATCTAAATGTAAGACACAAAATTATAAAACTCCTATGAGATAATACAGGAGAAAAAAATCTAGATGACCTTGGATTAGGCTATGACTTTTAAGACACAACACCAAAGACACATGAAAGAAAGAATTGAGGGACGGCCCGGTGGCGCACTCGGTAGAGTGCGGCGCTCCTGCTGAGGGTTCGGATCCCATATAGAAACCAGTCCGCTCACTGGTTGAGCGCGGTGCGGGCGTGACACCGAGGGTTGCGATCCCATTACCGGTCATGAAAAAAAGACAAAAAGGAAAAAAAATA